ATATGTGTACATCATCAAATTGGTGGCACATTACATATATTCTATATGGTTGAAACTTCAGTATTAAGTGAAAAGACTGTATGATCAATTTGAGATCCGATGGCATGAACTTAATTATGAAACTCAGATTCATGAGATGCGGTTGATTTGATTCAGGATGTGACAACAGGTTTAAGTTGGATCAAATCAGGAAAGGTGACTGTAGGCATTATTTTCCCTAAAGTTTATGATATTTCTCAAAACTGATTTGTTACATCTCAAACTGTAGAGTATAAATTACTTTTCTCATTGCGCTTTGTAACAGTCTTTAGTAGACAATCATCATACATTTCTATATTGAATATTAGAGTCAATTTTACCGACCACACAACATATTTTTATTTTATTATTATACTAAATGTTTCGACCTCAAGAGGTCATCCTAAGGTGTACAAACACAGCTGTATAATTACACGCAATCACATTCGTCTTCTCACTTATTCGATCCTGTACCTTATTCAGGCTTACGCTCAATAATATATCAAGCTCCTCTCACAAAACACAAGTTAAAATTGTTCTAAATGTCAAAAGTTAAAATTTAAATTTAACATTTTTTAAAAAATTTAAAGTTTGTGAATCGAATTTCAATTCAGGTCACTAGTTATGCTTTCACTTTCACTTGTATTCAGTCACTTCCTACTTACGTTCATCACTGCGTCAAGTTCACTTTAACTAGTTTAATTCACGTCATGGACCGTAACAGATCCAAAACTTCAGAAGACGCAGTAGAACAGCAAGACCTCCAAAAGTGAAAAAGTGCAATCTATAATAAAATTGAACTTTAATTCATGAACGTTTAATCAATAATATAATTAAACTAGTTAAAGTGAACTTGACGCAGTGATGAACGTAAGTAGGAAGTGACTGAATACAAGTGAAAGTGAAAAGCATAACAAGTGACCTGAAATGAAATTCGATTCACAAACTTTAAATTTTTTAAACAATTTTAAATTTAAATTTTAACTTTTAGAACAATTTTAACTTGTGTTTTATGAGAGAGCTTGATTTATTGAGCATGAGCGTGAATAAGATACAGGATCGAATAAGTGAGAAAACGAATGTGATTCTCTTTGACTTTATCCGATTGTATATTTTACAGTTATGGATGTAAATAAAATTATGAATTATGTAATTATACAGCTGTGTTCGTACACCTGAGGTCGAAACATGTAGTGTAATAATAATAAAAATATGTTGTGTGGTCAGTAAAATTGACTCTAATATTGATTAAATACACAACAGGATGCAAGAAACAATTAAAGTTTCTATACTGAGTGGCAATGAAGTTGGTCCCACTTTATTGGCGTCCTCTTTGATGTAGTAAAAGACATGGGTTTGAGGATAACGACTTTTAGTTGTTTTACAGTTGCACGACCTTCTTACAAGTTTTCATAGAAGCATGTTAGGTGAGAGTTTCAATGATATTAGGTCATGCATGGGCAGACAAATGGCTGTGATATTCACATAAGTTAATACACTTTTTTTCACTTTACATAAGGATTCCTAACATGTATATCCATCTGGGAAAGTTCTGGTGAGGAAAACACCATAGAGGAGAGGCCACTTTGCAGAAGCGGGCGTAGATGAGGTGATCATATTAAAATGGATTGGACTGGATCAAAGTTCATGGGCAGGCTTTATGTTTCATAACTGTTGGTAATTGTCTGAACACCTGAATAACTATCAGCTATTGTGGTGATATACTTTTGAACAACTTTAAGATAATTCACAGTATGTGCTTTTGCTTATACTACTGTTCTTCAAATATGTATGCTTACAACCCCAGCCTTTCCAATGAACTAACTTGCACTTTGTGGCTTATGTTTAAAGATGGATGGTACAACTGTTTCACTGAGCCAAAGGTGCCCTGTGAGATGGTTAACAACCATTATACATAATTCATAAACTTCACACTGAGAGTTTACACCTACCTTCAGTATTCCCATATAGGACATGTTTTTGAGTACAGTATTATTCTGTATACAGTGTCAAGTTTCTAGAATTACTGGGTTTCTGTATTTTGTCCACTGTCTGATAATCCACATAAAATGTTTCAGAAAGTGGATTTTCAGTCCTCAGGTGAGAAACTGGGGAGGTACTTATTCAGTCGGTTCTTTTAGAAAGAACCAGTTCTCAATTACTGTCCAATGAAATAGGTCCATTTTCTGAATGTTGTATTTGGTTCAGATTACTACATTATGCACATAGTCCAGAAACCCAGTGATGCTCAGTGTAAATGGCTGTCGTCAGAGAATTCTAGACCTGTTGTTATGCCCACACATTATACATCATTAATAAACGTGATTCTGCATAAAAAACAAGCCTGAATGCACAAAAATGTGGTCTTATGCATGAAATGTCTGTGCATAAAACAAAGGAATTAGATGGAAGTAGTTTAATATTGCATGCCTTAGTACCTGTCTAGTTTATTATGGAAGCATGAATTTAAATTAATTCCCTACAGAGGATTAAGGCAAGTTGTATGCATTTCTCCAATTATCTGCATTTTGTACATCCTCTGGTATGTACCCACATGCACACAGATACATACACTAACTGCATGCAATGTAAGCAAATTGACACATTTCATTTACAAAAATAAACAGCATTTTTATAATTTATTTGAACTTTACAAGACATAATATATACCTTATGTTTCAAGAATATTTATCAGCAGAGTAACATTACTGTTTTGTGATCACTAAAACATGACAGTGAGAATCAGAGAAAACAATTATATAATAAGAATTTCGTTCACTAAGCTTTTCCTCTTTGCGACATGTGCTACAGAATTCAAGCATTATGTATAACCTACAGTTGAGGAAGAAATTAGTGTAATGTAATGTAATGCTGAAAGGTGACCTTTAAGATATCTAACGTTATTGAATATCTTAATATATAAAAGGTTAATTAATGTTTATTTTTGTCATTATTTTTCGTTAGTATATTAGAGCCAGAGTTAGTTGTAGTTATAAATGGGAACACATGATACCAGCAGTGGAAAGTCTGCTGGAGTCATCATAAGTGTCCATGTTTTCCGAAATGAACTAGTTTCTCTAGATAGCAGCACTGTGTTTTACTGTATTTCCAGAACGCCTGCTGAGGTTGGGTAATTTTGAGAGAGTTTGTTTTAAACTATTTCCCAACAAAATTTTCAACAGGCTTTACACTTATGATATGAACATGAACTAAAACTGTATAATATTTCTTGGTATTTAGAAGAGCTGAATTCTGCAGAATAACAATATGACTTTATGAAAGATTTGCGATTTTCATGGCACCACATCCCAGAAGATGGAATTCTTCAATATGACTTTATAACCATTTTTGTAGCTAACTGGCTTAGTAACTTCATGGAGCTCAGCCCTTCTCTAGAAGCCACCGTGTTCTCAAGAGCCCTCAACTAGTCCCTATCCTAAGCCAGATCAATCCAACCCATACCATCACATCCTATCTAAGATATATTTTAATTTATCCACTCACCAAAAATGTTATCACATGAATCACTGTGTGCTGTGTGTTATACGTGGTAGAGTCATTAAGTTCATGGAATGTGGTTTTATCTCATCATATTACAAAGTATTCACATACAATTACGCAGATCCACATCAGCCCTCAAAATAGTTGTCGTTGGCCGCTAAGCAAGTCTGCCAACGTTGATATAGCTGTCGAAAACATTGCTGAAACTTATTGGCAGTAAATTCCTGTATGACATGTTGTGGCCATTCCACGAACTTATTGACTGTGGTAGTGTATGTGTTCATTATGGCATGGTCAGGAATGAAGACTGCAGTTAAAATGGGAACAACAGGTTGGGGAAAGATGTTACACAGAAGGTACAAAGAAAATGGGTGAAAACTGAGGAAGAAGGGCTTGGGAAGAATGACAGATAGAGAGGCTTGGTTGTTAGAGGAACAACATAAAGTTGGAAACGCTGGAGGAGGATGGAGGAGTAGTCAGACCTCAGAAGTCCCCTAGCCCCAAGTTTGCATGGTACTTAGAAATTTCACTGAGGCACCAGTTTTTATCAGTAGCATTGATCACTTATTATGTGAAACTGAAATATTATGGTTCAACCATATCTCAGTTTGAAGGTGGTTTATAGTGATGTAACAAATTGTATGAGGCCAGCACAGCCCTTCATTTTGCTGTATGTTTTCTCTTAATTTGAACACAACACAAGAACTTGTCTGGAAAATGTTGAGATATTCAAAATATTGACTGTAATTTATTTGTGATGACATCCACACTGAGGGATAGTGAGCAAAAGGTGAAAATGCACATGAGTGCGGTGTTATTTCTTGCACAAAATGCAAATAAGACACCAAGATGACCTTAAAAATGTATACAGCATATGGTCAAGAATATTTTCATGTGAATAAATGAATTTAATGACTGGATGGTCAGATTATTTCGTTTTACACGATTTTGTACATTACACAACTTTAAGATGTTTATCCTTTATTTTTTACATAGAAATCATTGCATTCAGTGAGAATGAAGAACAGTACTGAGAGAGAATAATTACGAATTAAAGCATGTAACCTAATAAGGAAGAAAAATAAACTTGCTGCTTAATTCCTATACTGAACTTGCTGGTGAGAGACTGCAGTGCAAAATTCTCATAATTTTTCAGTGAAAATTTTTTATGAAAATATAATAGATCTGTCCTTTGTTTTCGTTTACCCTTATTCTTTTGAAATTCTCTCACTCTTCTCTCATCTTTTGATTCTGCTAAAATCAATCCTAGCGCAAATCACAGTTACCTCGACTCAGTTTTTCATGTGCTTATCACTGGACTCTTCGGCAGTAATATTGCAGCCCTAAATTGACTGTCCATTTACACAACCTCCTCCACTATAGGAACTCTTTCAGGTTCATTCCTAGTGAGAACTCAAAATTTTGCACCTTCCAAGGCTAGGCAGTTCTAACAACTACTCCTATTAAATACTCTTCCATTCTGTATGCCCTTTCTCTTTGGATGTTAGCCTTCAGTTTGATTTTTGAAGTAGCATTTGTGCATAATTTTTCTTGTCCTGTGTGCAGTTAAAGTCATGTACTCATTTTATTGTACTGTTGAGCTACAGCTCAGAAGGCCACCGACAGACTGTCATGATGCTGTTTAATGACTCAGAAGGCTGAATCAGATGATAACTGCATCAGCCTGCACCAACACTTATTTCTTAGTTCAATCCCTGATTACCAGCTTCTGTGGGTCAAAGAGTAGGGAATTCCATGTTGAGGATACTTTCTTTACATGAAGAACCAACGAACTGGTAGCACTAACATTAATGCTATTGCTGCAACCACATGTAAGTGTCTCCCTCCATTAGCTGTATTACACAAATCAAAGTCACAGGTATAGACTTCTTCATCATTTATTTTTGAACTCTTCTTAATATATGCATGGGTGATCTGTTTATTGGTGACACAGTTCCTATAGTACATTTCTAGCAATCCTGCAACAGAAGAAAAATGGTAATATTATATTTCCAGCTCAGATAATTCTTCACAGTTTCTATGCTAATATCTCAGTTCAGCTTGAGTTTAAGTTACCATTTAACTCTTGAAAGTACAGTGGTAACTATATGTACCACCCACATTAACATTAAATATTCATTCGCACACAGAGTGTATTCATGTCTTTTGTATGATTTTTAAAATACATGATGATTTATTTACCTATACAGCACTGACTGGTTGATCTGAGTAATGTATTTCGTGACGTAAAGGGTGAAGACCAACATTTAAAAAAATATTTGTGTGATGATAATACAACACTTGAATCTGGAATGTTCATTCTCTGAAGTAAGAGTTTCTACCTCTGTTAAATTATATAGAAAATGAAAACATCACTTATAAAACTACAGAATACCGCATGCATGAAAATCATCAAATGACGAGCCACAAGCATTTTCTTCGTCGCTTGTACTTAAACGTTTCTGTGCTAGTACCAAGGTACTATTTAGAATTCTGTGCTAGCAAAAAATTAGTTAAAACCGAACGTAACATTTTAGTCCTAGTACTTAATGGAACTTTTGAAGTAACTGATTTTTTCCCCACTTACTTACAGCATATTTTTGTTTATAAATTATATGAAAATACATATTTTAGCAACCAAACAAAAACAAACTCCGTGATTTTAGTCCGCAAGTAAACTATACCGGCCAAGCGACGGCCGCTTGTCGGCGAAGTTTAGTGCCAACTTTTGGGGATAGAGGGTGTCGCGTCGTCAGCGCAACGAATCCCCACGGCCGTTAATTTCGGTTTTCTAGACCGGAGTCGCTATTTCCTTGAAATAGCTCCTCAATTATCATCACGAGGCTGAGTGGACCCCGTTCCAGACCCACTACTTCTCCGAAAAAATCTGGTAGCGCCGGGAATCGAACCCGGCAACCACTGAATCTTAAATTGTACTTGTTCCAAAACAGAATATAAGGGGCTGGAACTGGTAAAATTTCTATGCTGAAATAAGTGGAATTGTGTCTTAGAATCTTCTTCAGACTGAGTTCATGCTCTTTGACCAAGACAATGGATTGTAATCTTGTGTCACACTGAGCACTGCATGTGAACTTGCCATTGGGATCCTTCATGCTGACTATCTCGCAGCCTCTGCTGCACTCATGTGTCCGAACTCGTTCTGGGTCAAAGTGGCCTGCAGAACAAACGTCGCTGTAGTCGTGGTTATTGTTGCCATTCTTGTAGTCTGATGGGTTCCAGCTGCATATGTAACACTCCACGGCCTCAGCCACTGCAGCAGAATGGAGCATGTTCAGTAATTACATGAAACCTGCAACTAAATTCAGCTACACTAAGTAACCAACCCTGAATTCTGGGGAGAAGTGGATAGCGGCGGAGTACATTTATCAACATAGGGCATGGCATCCGGTCCACCAAACCCAGATATGCGGATCTCATCATTAGGGAGGCGACTAAAATTGAGCTCCATTCCAACAGTATGGACAGGGAGGATAGCTTCTGTCTGAGCTAGGCATGCACACCTCTCATCTGCTCCCTGAAAGATCGGAGGAAGCATCAATCACATGACAGCAGATCTGAGTTCTCTGCGGGGCCACACAGGTCCGTGCACACAGCCCTTATGAGGGCACAAACTCCGCCTTCTCCGAGCAGACAGCCCCGCGCCTTTCTTTTCTCTCCTGGCCCCTTGTTCGGCATCTCATTCCTACGGCCCACGCATACGACTTTTCTCCCATCTTCAGTTCTCCGCCGACCGACCCCGTGCTTACTGTTTCTCTCGCCCGTGTTCCAAGATCTGTACTACGGTCCTTTTTGGGGATCACGCTAGTTATCCTCTTCTTGTCTCCTGTTGGTTCGCTCTGTTCTGTGTGCGAGCCAATGGGAACTCGGGAGTTAGCTGTCTTGCAGTTCCTTTCTGTTTCCTATGTAAAATCTGGCAAGTGGGTTGCTCTGCTAGCAGGCCCTGTATACGTATATTGTTTATATTGTACTGTACTATGTATTATAGATGTAAAACTAAATACTATATATATAGTTGAGAACTGACAGACTATAATATACATATAAATGGCTTATGCTGCTATGACTATGACGCTGACAAAAAGACAGACCCGTCCTCCTGTCAGAAGGTCACCTTACACTGAGAAGACCATAGCTGTCACGGAGTAATTAAAATGTGGCCTGGAGCTCGACACCAAGTGATATAGCTGGACTGACTGACCGACCGACCGACCGACCGACCGAAGGTCACAACATGACTTCCGACTTTGACTTTGCTCTGCTTGCTAATTTTTCATGCTGATTTATTGCTTGGCTTATTCTTCGATGTAGGTGACATGTTCTCCAAAACGTCGGTTGACTTTCTGCGAAGTACTTGGAATCATTCATTCATTCATTCATTCATTCATTCATTCATCTGTAATCTGTCAAGACGACAGGTCCACAGTCTCTTCCAAAACAGTTTCTCCACTTGATGCGATCTAGAGCTTTCTCCTTCAAATAAAAATATCCTCTTCTGTCCCCAAGGTCATTCAGCATTTTCTTACGTCTTCTTCCTTGTCTTCTGGTCACTCTATCCGCCCCTCTATCTTTCCTTCAATAACTTCTTTTAGAAGGCAGTTGGAATCATATCCCAGAAAATATCTCTTCATAATCTTCAGAACCTCAACTCCTGCAAAGTGGAGGCCACGACTGCTTTGTATTCTGGAGGGTCCGGGTTTTCGAGTCTCGGCCCTGACGCAAGGTTAAAGCTAAGGGATTTCGTGATTTCCCTCAGTCCTTCCTGGAAAGTACTGGGACAGCAGGTCAAATCAGGCCAGAACCACTTTCCTCCACATCCCTTCGACCGACCCTTGATCATCATCATCATCATCATCATCATCATCATCTAGCAGTTTGGGAGTTGGATTTTTGTTGATCCGATCCAGTCTCATTTATGCAGTGGTCTGTACTATTTTAATAGTTACAAATGTCTTTTTGTTGCAGTGTGTCGATATGTTGAATTCTACCGGTTTTATATTTCGAAACTGTGCGATATGGGTTCTCTTTTTAATTCTTTTAAAATTATTTCTTTCACTTATTTTATGGCCTATCCAAGTGCATTTTGCTGCTCGCCTCATAAATCCCATTTCAGCCGCTGTGATTGTGGTTTTGTCTTTTGATCTAATTGTTCAGCACTCACTCCCAAAATAAAAGTGTCGGTAAGGCTAGGCCAGAAGTGGCCGCAGTACAAGGGACTTAGTCCCACTCCACTAGCAATAAAAAAAAAAGGCTAGGGTAATACACATTTTTATTCTACTGCATTTCTGGACCTTGATGGCTTACAAATTGTGGTAATGAGGCCTAATGCTTTTGAAAGGTTAGAAATTACTCTTTTAGATATACTACTAGCATCGACGCATGCGCGTTAACTGAGTGCCCTTCCTTTAAAGAATACTATTGGCAGAATTTGTTGTTCCTTTGCATTTTTTGTATTAAAATTTATATTATTTATCCCAAATTACCCTAAGGGCGAAATTCCGAAACACTAGGCAGCACTGTATATGGAAAATTAGAAACGCTGGAACAATTCAGAACTTTATCGTTTTGATACGCTGGAAAACTACGTAGGGGGGAATTATTGTCAGGAACAGACATTTTTTACTTTTAACATCTGCTAGAATATTAAATAGTTTAAAGGAAATTAGGTTCATTAGTTATGCCTGTTCTTCCTAGGTGCCCGAATTCTGCCACATACCGTCCTCTGTAATTCTTGTATTATGATTCTGTTCTTATTCTGATTACAGTTCATGAACGCATATTTACGAAACTAGAGAACGAAAGATAGAACAATTACATTCCATTCTCTTGGAGCCGGGATAGCTCAGTTGGTATAGCGACTGTCTACGGAATGGACAACCGAGGGGTCGGAGTTCGAGTCCCGGTAGGGTCAAGAATTTTCTCTTCTCTAGATCGTCCAGACCGGCTCTTTGGTTCACACAGCCTCCTATCGAATGGGTACCGGGGGCTCTATCCCCCATACGCCTTCATGGCCTGGTGCTTAGTTCGTTGAGCACCTTTACATTCAACTCTCTTACTGTACTGCGTGCAGGTTCAAATAATTTAAGGCAGTTTGTGTTTCTGGAAAGCCATGCTGTTTTACTCACTGTTACAACTGATGGTGAGGAGTATCCCAGTAAACAGAAATAAGTTCAATATCGGAGCCGCTTCCATCGCCAAGTCAGCCTGTAAGGAATCAAATGAAATTCTGAGAGAATACAAGACATTTCAGGGTTTCTGAAGCGACAGATATGATCACGCATGTTACAGTAGATGGTGAGCTCCACATACTCTGAGAACGAGGTTTCCTCATACGAGTACTTTGTGTAATCAACCTTACAACAGACGAGTTCTGTGCGAGTATGTCTGAAGTTCCCGCCGCGTATTAATATTGGTAGAATAATTAAGTCAAGGGGGATGGCAGGGAATGTAGCACGTAGGGGGACAAGAGGAATGCGTGTAGGATTGCGGTGGAGAAACCAGAAGGAAAGAGGTCACTAGGAAGACCAAGACGCAATTGGTTGAATAATATTAAAATGGATCTTAGAAGGATGGGATGGAGTGGTATGGACTAGATTGATCTGGCTCTTGTGAACAAGGTAATACACCTTCGGGTTCTATAAAATATTGGGAAATTGAGTGGCTGCACAACTGGTGGCTTCTCAAGAAGGGCTCATCCCCATGGAGTCAGTTTAATTAGTATGAGTACTGGATGTATGTTGAAAATAGAATCTTATAACTGTGTAATGATGACGTAACGGTCTACGTCACTAAGTGACGACGACGTACTCTCGTTCCCATATCAGATGCAATCTACGCATCATTACCACTCCGCTTTCAAGTATAAATACTGTGACATGACGCCTGAAAGCCAGATTATACGTTCATCCCTAGGCAACGGATCACTAAACAGGTTCTCGCTGCAACGAATATGCAAGAAACAATCGAGGTATTGTTGAGCTCTAATGATGATCCGCCCCGACGCTACCTAACGAGAACCCCAGGCCAGCAGAGGGAACTGAGTTCATCCCGTGTGGAGGCGGGGTCGAATACCTCCACCATCCCTGCGAGTAGTAGGAGGTGGCGAAAAGGGAACCCAGTGCCTGGGGGTATAAATATGGGGACCTGGCCCTCCAGGTTGTTGGAGTCTTGAATCTGGGATAGTAGAATATGGTCATGGGTCCCACGGGACTCGAAACTGAGAACGAGAACGACTGCACTGGCGAGGACCAGCATCATTTGCAAACTACAGATCGACCCTGTCGTTAGCGAGCATGTTACACAAGGACTATAACTACAAGTGTTCAATTGGAAAATAAAAATTATGGTCGTGAGTCTCAAGGGGCTTGACGCCAAGACGAACTGATTGGCGCTAAATCGCCAGGCGTGCGTAAAGTAACTCTGACTGTGAATGGCTGAGGTAATAATTGATGGAGTCTCTAGAGAGGGCAGTCGAAGGTGATTGAGAAGAGATGGCAAAATGTCTGCTGTAGTTACACCGAGACTGTCATAAATCCGTTGTCAGGACACGGCTAGTGAAGATTGAGAAAACTTAGCGTGTCCTACAGATTTGTAGTGTGGAAATCAGCAATAGTGTTCTAAATTTTTGTAGTTACAGGTTGAGTGCGTAAGTGAAATAAATCGAAGCATCCAATCCAAACCCCGTCTATAATCACACCCCTAACACAAGTGACAATATTAGTAAGAACTGAACCGCGCTTACTTTGAGATGCATTTCTCCGCTCATACTCACCCCGCACGAAGTGCCCGTAATGGCAATTGCAATGCGTGACACCGCTGCCGGCCCTTTTCACTAAATTATCGATTAGCGGATATACGTTCTGCATTTTAATCGTGCGATGCAGGTGTAGGGCTGCGGAATTAGCATTGTTTGATAGCAGGAAACGCGTAATCACGCACAACTAAATGACTCATGAGGTAGCATATAGTCCTGACACCTGTCAAGCATGATCCCCGGGGAATCAGTTGGTCTTTGAATGAGGTGAATAAGGCTCCCATGACGTCATCCTCTTTGCTATCGACCCGGCTCGCGTCACTGTGGCTACAGAATATTCGTACGATGGAACACATATATAGAACAAGCGTTCCTTGGCAAAGTGGGTCAACCTCCTTTCCCTATAAAGGAACTCATATCTCTCAACACTACATTACACACCGCCTCGTGTGTGTGTGTGTGTATATATCCCGATGAGGTCATTCGATTTTTCAATTGACCCAACCCTTTCAGCTGCACTATGGCCTTGGGGTCGACTCAGCCCCTAAAAGAAATAAGTGCCAGGAATCTTCCCGATGGTAAAATGGCGGCTGGCGCGTAAGGCTGACAACCTTGCCGCCGTCTGTGAGCCGATTGTCTAGAAAATGTGGGAGACTCGACGTCTAACAACCGTACGGGCCTTCACGGCCTGTTACGGAGATAGCTTTGCCTTTTGTATATATAACGACGCTAATGTCCAGCCCGCTGAATTCAGAAATAAATCTAGCAACAGGTGTTTATATAGAGACGGAAAGTTAGAGGACTGAAGACTTGGCGCCGTTTTCCATATGTAATAAGTTTATTGCTAAGAGCGTAAACAGTAAAAAGTTTGTAATATGTATATAAAACGCCGTGTAATCCATTGAAAGTCAACCGATGTTTCGGAGAAGCATGTCGGCCTCTGTTTGCTACCGGTTTCATGCTGATTTCTTGTTTGGTTCATCGAATCTGAAGATGGAGGCGAAATGTTTCTCCGAAACTTCGGGTTGACTTTAAACGGACTACACGACGTTATACACCAGAAGATAATGGCTATTCATGACGAACGTTGTGAGAATCTGAAATCCTATGTTCATTTTCGACCAAATTTGAAAAAGAAACGCGAGATTTGATGTTCTTATAGCGGAGATGTGACGCCTTGTAGTCTGGTAAATACTTAGTAGCGTTTCGGAGGAAGCCATCTACCAGAATATATGGCAGGTAATCTTCGGACATGAAGCGAACAGGCATAATTCTGAAACTTTTCGTTACAAGCCCTCTCCAAAGTAATGAATACACACCCTTATCCGAAATCTGAGTTTGACGGAGCAGTCTAGGTTAGCAGCAACAATTTAGACTCGTACTCGGAACCTTGCCGCCGTCTGTTCGGCCGAGGCATGGTTCCAATCTCGGCCGAGGCAACAGATATTATGGCCGACGTTTCGTACGAATTTCCTGCATTTCCTGCCAAATGCATGGATATTGCTTTGATTATGGCACGACCACAATGACATGCTGACGGCATCGACGTGCACAGGTGCTGTATTTATACCTTTCCAGTTGAGGCCTTTGTGGTTCACTTGGACATCCCTGATGAAATTTAGGGCAGAACTCTTATCCGGACGTTTGTCTCCGAGTGTTACAAAGCATTGTAGCTCCAGTCAGGTTTGTACGCCCTTGGTCTTCCACTGTAAGTTGCGGGGGGTGGGGTGGCTGAATGAAAATTAGACTCACCCCTAACCTTCGGGCTGGGCGGAGGGTCTCGTGTTGTGTGGTTGGCGTGTACTTGTTATTTCACTCCCCTCAAATTTTTCTCAGCCGTGGAACCTATGCTAATGTTGACACTGATAATGAAGGGGTGAAACCTCACATCAAATTTCGAAGGCTCATATGCACAGGGCCGATTACGGTGGCCGCGCGGTCTAAGGCATGAACAGCATTCGCCCGCTGGAGCACTGGGATTGTGGGTTCGAATCCCACTCAAGGCATGGATTTCTGCGTGCATTTATTCTGTGTTTGTGTTGTTCTGTGTGTAGGTAGCGGCCTTGCGACGTGCTGATACCCCATCCAAAGAGTCCTATCGACTGTGTATAGGATTAAGTAACTGAAAAAGTGGCCAAGGTCACAAGGACTGTACAGCCGTATAGAAATTCGTACAGAGTGATTCATTCGCAACAGGCCAGGAATTAATAATTACAAACCGCGCAGTAATTTACCGATAAGTACGAAGCTTGGCTTATATATACCTCGGCAGATGTAGAGACAGTTTTTTAGTTTGTTTCTTGGGGGTGGTGTGAGACTGAGTCCACTTGTTACGTCGGCCACTAACTGGCCTATTGTACCAGCCCCAAATGGTAGATGATGATCAATGTGGAGCAGTCGGTGGATGAGAATTGGCAGGAGAAACCGAAATACTCGGAGAAAACCTTCCCCAGTGCCACTTTGTCCACCACAAATCCCACATAAGCTGACCTGAGCTCGAACCCGAGCCGCCGCAGTGGGAAGCCGGCGACTAACCTCCTGAGGTATGGCGCGGTGTAGATGTAGATATAACTGGGTTATGGAACATGATGAAACTGATTTCTTCCCGCCTGGAGACATAGGCAGCAATGTTGCAAGCAGCATGGTGGCGGCAGCATCAGCAAATTACCTTGCCATTTATAAATATAAATTCGGGACCACCTCCGAGTGGATCACCCTGTGCATCTTCATAGCAGAATTGCAGTCTACTTGCACACGGTGGCTTTGGGCTCTGGAACAGTGGGAAGTTCCACCATGTATTGACATCAGCATCTCAAACTCTCGTTCTTTTAATCCTAGGGCAGAGGTTTATACAGGTTATTTATAGCAGGAGTTCACAAGTTCATTAAGAGACTAGCAGCCAGCCAAAATGTTCAGGGAGCAGCAATCTTCATTCCTGAACGGGGGTTCTCGGCCGTCTTGACAAACATCCGGGAAGAGGAAAGACCCTTGGTTCGCAGTTACATTGTCTATCGCAGGTCGAGAGAACACTGTTAAGCTTTCTTGACAAAGCAGAAAAGAACGCCTATGTGGCGATCCTTTCCGTTCCTCGGTGACACAGTGTCAGTGCTCAAATCGGTCGACAGAGCCTCAGCCTCCTTCTTCTTCTTCTTCTTCTTCTTCTTCTTCTTCTTCTTCTTCTTCTTCTTCTTCTTCTTCGATATAGCGACGGGCCGGGTAGAGGCAAGATTTTTCTCTTCTCTGTAGCATCCAGACCGGTTCTGGGGCTCACCCAGCCCCCTATTCAATGGTACCGGGGGCTCTTTCCCCGAGGGTAAAGCGGCCAGGCAGTGAAGCTGGGACAAGAATAGTAGAGTTATACCTCCAGTCCCATAAACGTCTTCATGACATGGTGCTTAATTTATCTTACTTGAGACATTCACTAGAAGTTGTCGGGCAATTTAATTTTCGG